TTTTGTGTAATTTATTTAAAGTTACATTCGTTGATAGTAAATATGTCTATGGCACCAAAGTTACATTCATTGAAAGCAAACTTTTGACAGCAAAATATGTCTAAGACAGTTGAATAAAATTTTGACAGCATAGTTGAATAAAATTTTGACTGCAAAGTTACAAAAGGCACACTTGGTGCATATGTCTATTACAGCATTACCAAAAGGCACACTTGGTGCATATGTCTATTACAACATCACCAAAAGGAACACTTAGTCTATAATTTTTTTGGTCCCCCATGTCTTCATAAACCTTATTTTTACTCCTAGTTTGGAGTCCTTTGAACCTGACTTCTCTCCAACTTTTGTTATGGTGATTGGATACTCACTAGATCCTGGGCCTTTAATTGGTTTCTTAAACCAACTCAACTTGATCCTTTCACTTTGCCTTCTTTTGGTAACTGGCTTCTTTCCTTTCTATTTATTTGAGTTAGCCACAACAGATACAGTCTGAGAATCATTAACCATTGTATTATGTCCATCAGTTGGAACTGCAATATATACATCAGTCAGAACAAACTTCTCCCCAGCACTCTGAGTTACATTTTGTACATCAGTTGGAACAGAATTCTCCCCATCAGTTGGATCTGTATTCTGTACATCAGTTGGAACAGACTTCTCCCCATCAGTTGGATCTGCATTCTGTACATTAGTTGGAACAAATTTCTCCCTAGCATTCTCATTTGCACTATGTGCATCAGTTGGAATTGTACTCTCAGCTTCACCAGAATTTTTAACTTTCCTCTACATAATTAATAATATGTTAGATTAGTCACAAAAAAGTTTGTACAACAGAATGAATTTTGAGAAACAATTATACCTTTCTTTTCAGGGCATTGGGATCTTGTGTCAATGACTTGCAAGTCAATGCATTGTGCCCAAACTTGTCACGTCTTGTGCACTTATATGAAACCCCATGTCTTCTTATTCTTGCACCTTCCTCTCCAACCTCTCTTATCCTTACCTTCCTAGGCCTTCCTGGACCTCTCTTGTATGGTGGTGGTAAAACTTGTTCCATTTCTACTTCTGGCCACATATCCTGACCATTGATAGGGCTTATTAAAAATCCATAACAAACTGCAAATTTTTCTCTGGTGTAACACTCGTCAACAAAGTCTTCTGGGTTTTGCTTCCTATAACACAAAGCTGCCACAGCATGCCTACAAGGTATTCCCACTAACTCCCAGAAGTTGAAACTACATGACCTTTTAGCTATGTCCACTATAAACTCTTGGTGGTTCTAAGTATAGGTGACTTGGAATTGCTGAGCTATGGACCATATTGGCAGCCAATGTCCACTATTGTATACTTCATTATCATACCTTCTCCTGGGTATATGCATCACTTTATGTTGCCATTATTCTAGTTTGGTGGCATATGTATACAACCTATTCATAAGTTATTTCCTTATCCACTCACACATAGTCAGTATGGGTTTATCCCTAGCAGCTAGTATTGTAGCATTGGAGGATTTAGATATGTTATTCATCAAAACATCGCATTTAGGGTAAAAAGTGAAGGCATGCTTACACCAACTCTTAGTAGGGACTGCCATCAACCAAGTCCATGCATTTTGATCCACTTTCTTCAATTCATTCATCTTCTGGGACCATGCTTGCTAGTATGTAGCTTTAGCAGCCCCCATCATCAAATCCCTTATGAGGGATCCACCACCATTTTTTTTTTGAAATTCGCATATAAATGTCTGAGACAATCTATGTTTTATCCTGTCAAACATCTCCTCGAAGACAACAACTAGTCCCTAAAGCAGAAACATTTGCACATTCAATACAGATCCAACAAGTTAATAACACTTAATCAATACACTACTAACAGTTAAGGATACACATACCTTATGTTGATCAGAGATGAATATATATCTTCTCTCTTGACCAATGTCTTCCATCAATAGTTGTATGAACCACCTCCAGCTCTCCTTAGTTTTTGTCTCAACCGCTCTAAATGTCAATGGAAAGTATTTATCATTAGCATCTATCCCCACATCAATCAATAGTTGTCCACTATACTTTCTATTCAAATGACATTCATCAACCCCCACGAATAGTCTGCAACCCCATTGACAAATCCTTTCTTGCAACCATCAAAACAAAAATAAAAGGATCCAAACCTAGGCTGTATGGAAGAAGTAGGTCTTTCAACATTGAGATTAACAGTGTTACCAGGATTCACACTTGTTAATTCAGCAGCATACCTTCATTTGGATGCATATTGATTATTTGTATCACCTTCAATTATCTTCTTAGCAATTAACTTAGTCTTCCATGCTTTTGCAACAGTAATTCCTACAGAAATTTTTTGCCTTATCTCTTGCATTATGTCTCTTATCCTAACATTATCAGAATTTTTAGCCTCTTTACCACGTGCTTAGCCACCCCACCTAGAGTTTGCATATTTGTTTTCCAAAATCCTAGCACATGTGTGGGTATCCACAAGTGTTTTTATTGCAAAAGTGTGTTTGTGGGCCACTTTGGAACATAAGACCAAAAATCCACATTTAGCCTTAAATTATACTCTAATCCTATAGCTTTCATTTTTAACAAAGGTAATTTACCTCCCATTGAGGACTGACCACTCACGAATAGCCTCCCTAAATTCCATAAGTGAATTAAATTCCATACCCATCTTAAACTTGTAGTCCTTGTTGAGGTGATCTTTTCTAAACCTTTCATACTTGGGCCTTTAATCATCACAAGAATCATCTGGGTCATCACTATTCAACTCATCACTAAGGTATTCATCCTCATTCGTGGTCTTCTTGGGCCTACCGAAAATCCCACTAAGACTTACATCTTCATTCAATGGCAATGTAACATCGATTCCTTCAAATCCATCAAGCAGAGCAGTAGCTCTCTCATCTTCACTGTCATCTAAACCTACAACCATCTCCTCTTCCAACCCATCCATTTCATTCACCTCATTGACACAATTAGGTTTCGTATCATCAGCATCCAATCCTCCCTGAGAATGTTCCACAAATAAATGTCCAACGATATTCATTGCACTAAATAATTATGCAAAATCGTATGCATCATCATCCTTTTTTATCAAAATATATCCTTCTTGAATCTCTAAAACTTTCGTCCATAAACGAAAACTCCCCTTCTTATACCCACACCCACGTACCAACTTCATAATACGATCCATCATCCACTTAGTAACTTTAAGCCCATTTACAGTAGAATCGACCCCCCCCCCCCCCCCCTCTATAAATAATTCCAGTCGTATTAACCCAGATAAATTCACCCCCATGGTGAAAAGTAACAGTAAAATATTGGAAATCTTGCGAATCCATCAAACTCAGTTAACATAAAATTCCCACCGTATTACACTATAACTGTATTGAAGTTTCAAAACCAACATACCTTAGACATTGCAAGCTTCATCGTCAACCTACGTCGCCTACAGAATCATCGTCTTCACAGCTCAGTCTTCACATAAACTCTAATTTCGCAAGGGGGTATAACGAATAGGAAAAAAAATTACAAACTCTGATGCTTGAATGAAAATGCCATGTGGCTAAATTGGAAACAGGACGTGACAAACATTTCAACAAGTCACTCAAGATTCCATAACATCTGGCCAGTGGGGGGGGGGGGGGGGGGGGGGGGGATCTACATAACATAAGGGGGGAATTAAAAAAAACTTTACGAGGGGCTAAAACCTGAATTCGCTAATATTGCAGGGGTGTTTTTATATTTAACCCAAATTTCTTTTATGATGTGAAAGATCAGACAAAGTTGTAGCCACATAACATACTAAAATTTATATCCCACCAAATCAAGGCTCTTGATACCACTTGTTAGGAAAAAACAAACAATAGAGAACAAAAGAGGAACACAATCACAACACAAGAACATAACGTGAAAACTCTAAAATTAGAGAAAAAACCACGGTCATTGTCAATAGACAATTAGATAATAACTCTATGTGAAAATTGTTACAACATATAATATACTCTCAACTAACTTATGTCAGTACACTCACACTCTCCAAAATAAATATTTAATTATTTCTTACAACACTATTATACAAGAGTATAAGAGAACAAAGAAAATCAAATATAAATTTAAAGTGCTTTTAACTGGTGCATCTTGTAACAAAAAACTTGAATCACATATAAAGCATTGCACCCTCTCTTCCTTCACAAAATTAAAAGATGTGGGACTTCAAAGAACTTGTATCATAATATTACAAAATGACGTGGAACTTTAAAGAACTTGAATCATACATATAGTCTTGAACTCTCTCTTTCATTACAAAATTAAACTATGTGAAACTTTTTCAACATGTATATTTTTCAACCAACCCCAATAATAAATATCATGTAGATAATATTTAGAAATCTAATTATGTGTGACATAATATTATGATGGCATTATTTGTTATGACTTTAAATCCATTTTATAATTACTCTTTAAATTCATGAATTATTTGGAGAAACAAAAATTAAATAAACTCCGATTAAGAAAAAAGCATAATTAAAATATGAATTTAATATATTCAAAAACCTAATTACAAATTAATCTATTCAAAGACCATATTTAAAACGAAAAAAAAAAAATCAATTCAATAAAGTGGTTATAAAATACTGACAAATTGATAAACTCCATTACAACCTCTTTTAATTAAAATACTTATTTAAAAATCTTGTAATAGTTTAAACACCTTTAGTTTAATTTAAAATTTCTTTTATTAAACTCCAAAATAAAGTAGGGGAATTAATACTTTTCCTCCAAACACAAGACTCCATCACTAAGCAAGCATCAAAGAATAAAACTCAAACTTCTATCTTCCAAAATGCGAAATGCAAACTATAAAGAAATGTTAGCATATTCTCCCACATAATAATTTCAATCTATATAATCACAAAACCAAACCTTATCACTTTCTATCATACAATTCATCTATCCAAAACAAGAACCTAGGATACTTTTGCTCAAATGGCACATAACAAGAATCTAGGATACATAAAAAAAATTGTATTCATGTTACTAGTTTTGTTTGTGACACAAACATTACAGATTGAGATCAAAATTGAAGAAGAGCCTTCAAGTGGTTTATTATGCATTAGTGAATGTGTTACATGTCCTACAATATGTTCACCACCCCCTCCTAAACTTGTTTCATCAAATTCAAACCACCCTCCACTTTCACCCCTAACACAAAATCCTCCACCTCCTCCATTATTAACAAATTCACCCCCTTTTCCACTAATTACACTCCACCCTCCATCTTCTCCATTGTTAACACAAACCCCTCCACCTCCTCCATTATTAACATCATATTCACCTCCTCCTTCTCCACTTCTAAAATCATATCCTCCTCCAACACTAACTCTTCCACCACCATTGTTGACTATGTCGCCGCCGTCTCCACCAACTCCTTCAACACATTCATCTGGGGAAGCTCCTCCTCCGCCTTTGAAATCCTCGCCTTCTTCGGGTTCATCAGGTTCAGCACAACCACAACCTACAGTTATTGGTGGATCACCACATAACTATCCATATCCATATTACTATTATTATGCTTCAAGTGCTTCTCATTTTTCTAATAATGTTGTACCTTTTACTATTGTACTTTTGTTCCTTCATAAGATATTCTTTGCATGTTAAGTGATAACGAGCAGTTGAAATTAACTTGTATGTATAGTGTACAGAATTTTTAGAAACATAGGGTTATGTGAGGAAAATAATATACAATATTATATATTTTGCCTTATTTATTGGTTTCTTTGTTTAAAACATTTTTCAATAGAGTTATTATAAACTTTACGTATCTTAAAATTATCTGAGAAGCCAAAGCAAACAAAATCAGAATTTGAAATTATTTAAAAAGTAAAATTGGTAGTTTTTTTTTATGAATATTTACTATACGATAAAATTGAAATTTATGGAAAATGTGAGGATACAAATATAAATTTCATGATAAATTGTACATAAATGATTACAATAACAAACCAAATTTCATGATAAAGTTTGAAATAAAATTGCCTAATAATAGAGCGAATTATGGGCCTGAAAAGATCTTTCAAAACTTATAGGTCCTCGAGATTTTTACTTATAGCCTCCACATTTAAATCTCGCACCCCACAATTTTCAATAATATTCAAATTATTCTTGTCAAATTTTTATCAAAAAAGAGTGCATAAAATATTTGGTAGTGTAAGTTAATAATCTGGTATTCTATTCTAAAAACTTGGTATATATTTTTATCGATTTTTTAAAAAAAATTGGTAGGTGGAAACACGCACCGGCTTTTTTTTAAAACATTACAGTTTATTGGATTTTTTTTTCAAAATGTGGAAAATTGTAAAATCAATTATTTTTAAAAAGCTTGTATATTTATCGGACTTTTAAAAGGATTTCAAGACATCTGATAGTGTGACTTTCAACGATTGAGACATTGTCAACAATTTCGTACGACTGTGATTGTATTGGTAATTGTCTGAGGTTTAGAATAAATTCAAACTTATATAAATAGGTATTATGTGTTAGTGCGTGAGGCGTTTTTAGTGAGGAGAGAAAGAGAGAATAATAAAAGAAATAAGGATTTGTATTATTCAATTGTACAAATAGTGATACACACTATGACTATTTATATACGACCTTAATTGGGTTTGGGCTAACACAACTTGGATTATATTTAAATATTAAATCTAATTAAATCTAATTTAACATTTCAACACACCCCCATAATCCAAGTTGTCGAACATCCTCAAAAATAGTCAATCTGAATTATTCCTAATTTCTTTCTCAAATTCAGGAATCTGTCGATCTTCAATCCTTTGGTGAAAATGCCGGCCAACTGTGCTTCACTTGAGCAATGCCTAACTTCAAGTTCACCTTCATTTACTTTTTCCCTCAAAAAGTGAAACTTTGCTTCAATATGTTTACTTCTTCCATGCAGAACTGGATTCTTCGCCAGATTTATGGCTGACTTGTTGTTAATTTGCAATACTAGAGGTTTCTTTAATTCGACAGTCATTTCTTCAAGTACAGATCTGATCCAAATTGCTTGACATACAGCATAGGATCCTGCTATATATTCAGCTTCACACGATGACAATGCCACCACAAGTTGCTTCTTCAAACACCATGAGATTGAGGCACCAAATACTTGAAAGAAATATCCAGTTGTGCTTCTTCGATCTTCCTTATCTCCACATCAATCAGCATCTAAAAAACAATTAACTATTTCTTCTTTGCCTTCAGAATCTCGTCGAAATAGTATTCCACAATTTATTGAACCCTTCAAATATCTCAGGATTCTTCTTACAGCCTTCATATGTGACACTCTTGGTTCACCCATATATCTGCTTACTAATCCCACTGTGAAACCTATATCAAGTCGACTGTTGCACACATACCTCAGAGATCCCACAATTTGCTTGAACAAAGTTGCATCAACTTTGTCTTCCTTTCCATTCTTCTCCAACTTTACATTTGGTTCGACAGGTGAAGGTGCAGGATTTGAATCATCCATTTTGAATCTCCTGAGTATCTCTTTAACATACTTTCTTTGATGTAGCACCATACCTTGCTTCGACATTTGAAATTCCATGCCTAGAAAATAAGAAAAATTTCCTAGATCCGACATTTAAAATTCCTTCGTCATCAGCTCTTTGAACTTCGAAAAGTTCTCCAAACTATTTCCCGTTACTAGCAAGTCATCAACATACAAGCAGATGATTGTTATATCTTGTGCTACAACCTGAACATAAACACCATACTCTGATTTTCTTTTGACAAATCCTAATTCGACTAAGTATGAGTTGATCTTCTTGTTCCATACCCTAGGTGCCTGCTTGAGGCCATAGAGCGCTTTGTGCAATCTATATACTTTACTCGCTTCCTTCTGAATCACAAACACAGGAGGTTGTATGATATAAACTACTTCGTTTAAAGGACCATTCAGAAATGCTGATTTCACATCTAGATGGAATGTTCACCAGCCTTGGTTGAATGCCAATGCTACCACTAGTCGAACAGTCTCTAATCTTGCTACTAGAGCAAATACTTCAGAGTAGTCGAGTCCTGCTCTTTGAAGAAAACCTCGATCTACTAATATTGCTTTATGTCTTGTTATTGACACATTTGCATTGTGTTTCAACTTGAACATCCACTTTACTTCGATAGTGTTGTACCCCAAAATTTTCCCTCCCATATTTCTCAAGACATGTCAAGAACAATCTCCAAGTTGCTCAAGTTGGCTCAAGGGTTGGACAGTCAAATCACCTCCTAAGGCAGTCAATTCAAAATTAGGGTTTTGTGTTGCATCAATGTCCTTACATCCAAATGACCTCAAGTGCTCCCCAATGCCCTAATATGTCCTTAAGTTCATCCATGTCAAATTTCAAGCCTTGCAGAGAAAGTTTGGTCAGTCAATTGCTCAAGGGGTCCAAAAATCGACTGTGCTAGGGCAAAAGTCAACTGTGGCCTACAAATATTCAAACCTCAAGATTTTTTGCCAACATTATCATTTTTAAGGATAATTCATCATTTTATCAAGGGTTGATCATGATTCATCAAGGATTGCTCAAGATTCATCAAGATTCAAGAGTTGCTAAATTAGGGTTTTGTAGGAAAAGTCAACTCAACTTTGACCAAGCATAACTTTCTCATACTTTATGAGAAATGACCCATCCAAAGCTCATTTTGAAGAGGATGAAATTTCCTACAATCCATCTTCACACCCCAAGATCAATAAATACACTCACAAAAAGTTACAAATTTGGACATTATAGGTCATTTTTGAAAGTCAACAAAAACACCTTTTTTTCCAAAGCTTATAACTTGAGCATGGAAGATCAAAATGAGATGAGACCAAAAGGGTTGGTTAGAGGACATCTGTTAGATGGATATTTTGAATAAGGAATAAACCACTATCAAAATAATATTTCGAATAAAGTACCTAAGGAGATTAATATCAATATTGGATATTGGTGGGAGATATGGAGTCATTATGCTGAAGGATTATTCAATTTCCAGTGGATTTCGATTTGGACTTGTTTTAGTGTTCTAATTATAAAAGAGCTCCTTTATGTAAGGGTGACAGAAGTTGGAAACGGTCCAGGTAATTGGGTTATTTCAAAAGCAACGAAGAAACAAGATGCTTCGATTGGTACAGATTTCGCAAGAGGCTTCGATTGGTACAGATTTCGCAAGATGCTTCGATTGGTACAGATTTCGAATTTCAAATAAAGAGCGCCATTCTAGAAGACGCGTGGAAGTCAGCAAACATAGGAAGCATGCATGCTTCGAACGTGACGTGATTTTAGAATAGGTCTGTTAGGGTCAAGACACTATAAATATGTGTTCTTATGTTAGATTTAAGGATGTTCACTTTTATGTACTAAAAGATCTCAAAATACTCAAAATTCCGTGAATTAAGGAAAACGAGTCAGAATATACAATGTACGTCCTGAACATCATTACTTTTTTACAATTTCAATACAAGTCTTGTTATATTTAGTTCGCCTTTAAATCCTTCGATTTCCTTGCATTTCTTTGTTTTACTTGCCTTTAAATACAGTCACTTCGTTAGAAACTTTACTTTCACTTTATCCTTTTAGTCAAACACTTATATTTACATTCAAGCCCAAGTCTAATTCGAAGCCTTTCCTGCCTACATTCAGTTAGTTTATTCCTATAGACCATTTTAGAAATCTTTCCTAAGAATCTCGTATTCGAACTTAACATACAATATAAGTCTATCAATATAATAGATATGAACATGGAAATAAGTTATGACACATGTGTTCTAGGATCAATCTAGTCGATCCTGCAAGTAACCAATAATAATTAGTAAATTGGAAGACTAGCGGTTGTTTACTAGAAATCACTGTAAACAAATTGGCACGCCCGGTGGGACAGTGTCATAACAAAAAGTTTTATCAAACAAACATATTAGAGAAGTTTTTCTGAGTGTGGAGCGCGTTTTGGTACATGAACCTTTGAAGCGGCAAAATAAAGAATAACAATCCACATATACCCAGAAAACAACGTACCAAAATAATGGTTAATACAACCAACCAAGATGGGGTACAGAATCCCCCACAAGGGGCTGCAACAATCGTTTCAAGTTCAATTGATGCCTCCAATGCCATTCCTGTTGGCAGTTCGAATACGATCCCAGTAAGTACATTAGACATGCCATCAAACGTGTCTTCAGTGCAAACTGCACCTCACATAGGGAATCAACAGTATTCGACCCCCCCTAGGCCTCCAGGTTTTGAACCTTTGAGACCCAGAAATCCTCAGTATGGGATGCCAACTTCGTTTATGGCAGGGTTACATAATGCAACAACTTCGTCCCCACTCCAAGGATCTGGTTCAGGAATGAACCATTTGGGTACAAATTTCCAGAATATAGGAAACTTTGCCCAAATGCCTACTCTTACAACTAATAGTCAGGCAGCGCTTAGGCAACAAATGGATGATAGCAATCATGATATGGTAGGCATCCTAGCCCGCGAAATGAATGCTATTTTCAATCCCCTAATCCAGAATATAAATAGAACAAACCAAGAAA